ATGAAAATGAAGAGCAAAGAAAGTCTCGCAATTACTCGTATATTATCGTACCAGTAGTTGTCACATTCATTGTCATATGCATTGGATGTGTCATAGGGCTATGGTTTAACAGAAAGAAGAGAAGTTTGCCATAATTCGCACCAACGCCTTCTTATTTGTTGTTTTCATCAAGCTGACTGTTATTTTCCTTTTTCATTTGATTAAAACACTTTCGATTATGTTAATCATTTCAATAAATTGAAGGTTGTTTCATGGAAATACACACAACCTTCATGATTGTTTGTCAAATATAAAATATGGTTATCTGTATTTACGTGATTGTTTTCATTCGCTGTAAACTGGTTAGTTTTACAAAAGTTTACAGCATTCCATTTGTGAATTAACAGTATCGTGTATACGTGATTATGTGACAATTGTAATCAACAATGAATCCGTTGTGAATGTCCAGTTTGATGAAGTCTCACCACTGAAAAATATCATTTGAAAGTGTCGATGTTCGTTGCTTGAAACTGAAATGTCAGAATACCGCATTAACATTTAACGAGGCAGCTCATTCCTCCGTTATTCGATTATTCAGTGTTTAGTAAAAGTTTGATGACAGACTATTGTTAATTAGGTGTTATGAATGCTGATTATGAAATAATTCTATAGGGTTAAGCTGATACTCAAGTAATAATGAGGAAAGATATAGGTTCAATAAACTAGTGAAAGTCCTGTCGTAGCATTGCTAAATAAGACGACAGATTTTAAAAACAAGTACACTGTAGTGTTACTGATCGAATATTAGTCGGAAATATGAGGAAGGATCCTCCAAAGATTGCAATGGTGGTTATAATATTCTCTTTAATGTTTAGGACTGAAAATCGTCGCGTCATCCCCTAAGCTATCAACATGTATATTCATTACCTTCTACACACAGCTCCAATACACCATAATTAGGTGAACAGGGATTAATAAATGTTTGTCCTGTGGCAAACTGCATTCTTGGAACTCATATATTGTTTGTGATCCTGAACGCTCAAATTGTTACAAAATTGGATACATTATGTCGGTATTTTAGACTTATTGATGATACCAGACCAAATTATTAAATTCCAGTATGATTGGAGCCTTTTGTGATCACATTTTGCTTTTATCCACGATTTTGAATGCGCTTGCCACATGTGAGAGCAATTAAATATGTCTTTTTGTTCATTCCGCGATCCCATTGTTGACACAGGCAGTATACCGTCAATCATTTTATTTGAACTTTGTATTCAGAGGGGCACTAAAATAACTTGCCCTCACTAGCTTTCAAAGAAGATTCTGATGAATTGGTTAAAACTTTCATGTCTCCCTGTGTTAAGTGCTATGATGGGATAAGAATTCAGTCTTCGACATTGAATCTCCGTTTGTTGAGGCAAACACGCACCACAGTTATTATTATTCACAAACATCTTATGGGTACATAAGTGTTGTGAAGAAACCATTTCGGGTTTCTTCAGAAAATGCAATAATACACAATTTTCAATAATGTTAGCATTATACTTGCCATATTTAAAAAAAAAAAAATAATAATAATAATAAAAATAAAATAAAAAATTGAGAATAATAATAGTAGAATATTAATAATAATAAATGGGCTCTTTGTAATTGAGAAGAATATTGAATTGAGTTTAAAGAAGGAAATGGAGAAAATAAGTGAATAGAAATAAAGGAGACATGAAATACGCAAACAGTCTAATAGGCGTGTTTGTGAACAAAGAACAAGAATAAACGACTATGTGTGTATCGTTAAATTAGTAACAAAAAATAATTAAGAAAAAATAACTTATAATTGCAGTAAGATATGACGCTAGAATATAAATGTTTGTGCAGTCACATAGTTTGGAGTGATGCTATGAAAGTCTCAATTAAATGAAAAAGATAATAAAATATCAATATGTATGAGTAGTCATATATGCATAGTGAAGATAAAACACAAGTTATTGTCTTAATTAAAAACTTCGTAATCTTAAGAGCAATAATTATTTAGAGGGAAAGAAGAGAGAAAAGAAGTGAACACCTAGTGAAAAGTTTCATCCATGATAAGAATAATAATTGTGTAATGAATATCAACCTCAGAAGGAAACCAACGATTTAGAAAAATAAAATAAAAATCCGTTAAAGCACTCGTATGAATACACTTAGATTTATGTAATAGTACACAGAGTGAAACCGGATATTATTATAAACATATGTGCAATAATAATTAAGAATGATGCTATGAAAGTCACAATTGATTTCAAAGGACAATCTGGAGTTAAATATGTTTAGAAGGGTAAGAAGATACAAAAAGAATATCTAATGTGTCGGGGAACTAATAATGATATTAATAACGGTAATAATGATAAACACGAACATAATCAGACTTCATATATTAAGATAAAGAGAAATAAAACAAAATAGACGTGAAAGGATTTAAAGGTTTTATTTTGCTTTTCAAGCAATTAAATAAATGACGGACCTTGTTTGTATAAATCATTATTGAATACATTGATATTCAATAGATGACATAATCCACTTTCGGAAAGAAAATCGTCAAGGAGACTTTTGAACCGGGTTGTAGTTTCACTGCAACGGAGGTTCACTGGCAGTCTGTTCCACATGGTTGAGTAGCGAATAAGGAAAAAATTCTGACGTAAGTTTGTGTGGGTTCTTGGAATCGCTAGAATATTCTCCTTATTGCGTAGATTGTGGGATGATATTATAAGGTATGAAGGGGTAGATACCGATGAGTAGGAAATACCGTTAATGAGCCGGTAGATAAAGACAAGATTTAATTTGATACGTCTGATCCAAAGAGGTTCTAAGTTGAGTTGTTGACATCTTTGGTAATAGTCTTTGTTATTGGAATACCCCAGAACAGCTTTGGTGAACTTTCTTTGAACACCTTCAATTCTAATCAGATCATTATGTCTACAATTACTGTAAACTAAAATACCATATTCAAGAATGGGCAAGACACATTTTCTGTATAATAACAATCTCGATTCGATATTATTGAAGTTTATCATTATCAATCCGATGAGCTTTCTAGCTTTGGATACTTGAGATATAATGTGTTCAGAAAAGTTCAGACTATTGCTATATCTTAAACCCAGGTCACGAACGGTGTTGAGAGGTTTGAGTGTATGTGTCTGTACAGTCAGATTTAAGTTAAGACAGCGACCAATGTGAATAAATCCGCTTTTGTCAACATTAAGTGGCATATTCCACGAAATAGTCCATTCGTACAACTTGTTTATTTCCTCCTGGATTACCGCAGAAATATAGCTTTCTTTCGTGGGAGAAGAGAATGAATAAACTACTTTCAGATCATCAGCAAAAAGGAAAGGCTTACCATACTGAAAGAGGGGACACACATCATTGATAAAAATGAGAAAGAGCAATGGACCAACCACACTTCCTTGTATAACCCCACTTGTTACATTTACAGGTTTAGAGTAGCAAGATCCAAAGCGAACGATTTGGCTACGTTCTTCTAAAAAAGATTTGAGCCAAGATAAAAGGGGATTCTGTATGCCGAATGAAGAGAGTTTTAAAAGAAGAAGTTTGTGTGAGACACTGTCGAAAGCTTTACTAAAATCGAAGTAAAGAATTATCACTGACTGACCAACATCTCTTCTCTGGGTAATTTGATCAAAAAACTCCAGGTGCGATGTGAAACATGAGCGTTTAGTCATAAACCCGTGTTGGGATGGGCTGATCAGACTAGCTGAAAGTAAAAATGATAGTAGCTGTTTGTGGATGATTTTTTCCATGGTTCTTGACAGCACGGATGTCAAATTAATTGGCCTATAGTTAATAATATCACTACGTGGTCCTGTTTTGAATCTAGGGGTGATAAGGGATGTTTTCCATGCAGATGGATAGGTCCCATATTCCATAGACAGATTGAAAAGTTTCAAACAAAATAGTGGAAATTCTTTACTTCCATATTTCACAAATGATGTAGGTATCCCGTCAGGTCCACCATCATAAGACTTTTTCAGGGTAGTTATGGCCTGCTTGATGTTGGAGGGTGTGAAATCAATTTTCGACAGATGTCTGGATGTTAGCATTGGAAATGAAATGATGGAGCTTTCAGTTCTAGTCTTGTAGCACTGCGAGAAGTTCTTGCTGAATTGTTCGCATATAGTATTCGGGTCGTTAACAATGCTTCCGTTAACTATGAAGAATTTGGTCGTGCCAAGGGAATTTGACTTTACACGGGATTTAAAAAGTCGAAGTATTGATAATTCTGGGCTTTTACTACGTAGAGCTTTATTTTCTATATTCATGAAATACTTATGTTTAGATGAAGCATTTCTGTCGATTAATTTAAATATACTCTGAAGTGCATACACATCATTCTGCTCATAGTAGCGGTATTTTAATTTCCTCAGCTTTCTTTTAAAAGTATTTTGGCCCCTATTAGCATTATAAGCCACACGGCCAATAACTGGAGCAGTGCAGTCAAGACAATATATCAGGTTGTGATATAGGTTGGAAAGCGCAATGTCAACATTATTTGTGGTAAAATAAGTTTTCCATGGTAAACATCGAATGAGAGTTTCAGTCCGTTTCCATGTTTGTTGATCAAAATATCTGCTCTGGTACGTCGTTGAAGTTTTAGAGTTCAATTGTATGGCGTTTAAAGAGTGAATAATACTCAATACAACTCTGTGGTCACTCATAAAAAACTCATGACTGGTATGCACTGAGATAGAGTCTATGTTGATTGTGAACATTAAATCAAGTGTATTATTCCCCCTGGTTGGTTTTCGGACCTGTTGAACCCATCCACAAATTTCTAATGTTTCAACTAGCTTGTTATATCGACCTGGCACCGGAGTCAAGCCCCATGTAATTTTTGGCAGATTAAAATCACCTCCGATGATTTTAAAAGTATGAGGTTGATGCGAAGCAATGGAAAATATGTTTGTTAGTAATCTGTCAAACTTAGTATCCGCATGAGGTGGTCTGTATATGCATCCCACCAGTAAATAATTTTGGGATCCACAGTTTACAGTAACCCAAGTGGAGTCTTCTATAGCATCAAGGGATTTGTCCTCAAATTTGCACGCTTGAATGTCTGAACGAACATAGATAATTGTACCGCCTCCTATTCCATAACATCTATCGGTTCTAAAGAAAACGTAGTTATCTACATTCAAGGAATGATCGGATATAGATGAATTACACCACGTTTCCGTAATAAGTACAATGGTTGGATTTACAAGGAATAAAAGAGTTTTAAGATGAATAATTTTATTAGACAGAGAGCGGGCATTGAACGAAAGAATAAGAAACTCAGAGTCATCATAGTGAAGCAGGTTGGAGTATAAATCGCAATTGGTAGTTCCATGAATACTCATAGGATTAGCTAAGGTGAGAGTTGTGTTGCGAGGGGAAATAGATTCAACCACTTTGTTATCATGTGAAATATGTTTACCGTTGCCGGCAGGAAAGCCGGCGGAATTACAAAAAAAGTTTTCTCATTGCTGTTGGATCTAACATCTGATAAGGGCATAGTGTACATATTGGGAGCCGGACCAAGAAGGCTATCAGGTCTATGGTTTTGACCAAGTGGCCAATTACAATTCAGATAACTATTTATACCTGACGTATGGGTAACGTGTTTAAGACGTTTATTTCCAAGGGTTGTGGTTGATTTCGGCTTCTTCATATGTTGGAGGGGATTGTGTACTGTTAAACATACTTGCGATGGTTTGCGAGGTTCGAATATATCAACGTTAAGTGCGTGGTCAGTTATATGGATGTTATGATTAGTTTTCCTGTTATCCGTTGCACAGTTACTGTAACTGGGTGTTGCACTAACAGGGGTTTGGGTTGTGTTATCCCATTCTTCATCAGCACAACTACTTCGGGTTGAATCTAAGTCAACATTCTCAAGAGGATGGACACCACCTACATCGGGATTACTTTCTTCTGGGTTTTGAACTTCAGGAGATTCAGAAGAGTTTTTCGGTGACGGCAAAATTGTTAAGCTAGACGTCCCCTTAGAATCGGACTTAACTTTACGACCATTAGGATTACGATGCGTTTGAGAGTTTGACGCTGGTGGTCGGTAGTTATCTCTTCCTGCTTTTCGCTGGCATGGTGTTTTATCCGGAAGAGTCTTAATATCCTTGAAAATCTGTTTTTGTCTCAATGAATTGGAGGAATTTAAAAATTCACTGGCGTCTACAGATGAGTTGAATTTGAACAAGATCGGTGAGTGCATACCAGGATGACTTCTTTTTAATCTTGTGCATACACATGGTACGTGTGTCATATTGCTGGCTCTAAGCAGACTAGATTTGATATTTTTAAGGGCATGTGTATCCGGTATATTAAACACAATTGCATTACTAGATCGTCTTATTCTTTCAAATACTTCTGATGCAACACGATCTAGGAAAATATTTATGTCATTCATTTGATCTGGAGTCTCTGTGAGGTTGGGGTTGATGAGATATTTAAGCGGGTTGAGAATGTTCATGTCTACTTGCAACTTTTTTATAGCATCCATATGGTTGCAGTTGCGATTATCATCACTGTTTACCATCAGAGTTTTCAACATGTCTGGAATGGAGACAACTGGTAAAAGCTTGTCTGCTTCCAGATGAACGGAGTGGCTCGTCTCGTTGAAACTGTTGGAAATCGTGTCAGTAGTGGTGTTAAATTGTGTCGTTTTCCTACGTTTGGCTGGACGCCTAGAAGCAGGGGTCTTCATTTTCTTTTGTGGCATGATAAGAAAGTGACGTGTAGCAAGTGGATTGAACAGAATGTTGGAAATAGAGAGGGGTGAAAAAAATCAATTCCGAGGGCTCAAGTTAGTCTAAAAATCAAAATCTATGTTTTAACCAAGGGTCAATGTATCGTGAGGATTAGTGGTGTTAAAAACAGATGACAATGGCAGGAAGATAGTAGTGGAGATGAAGTATTTATGTCAGTATCTGTGTGGAGGCAAGATAGAATATAAAGGAGCAAGTTGTATAAATTTTAACACATATGACATGAAAGATAGCCTTATATGGTAAAGTAATTTAGAAATGTCAATAATTAGTAACAAACAATCAAAAAAGTACGGTACGTGATACATATATAAACTGAAAGTCCGTATTAGTGAAAATTGGGAGGTGCAGAGACAAGTAGTTTAGAAGATTATTACCGTCTAAGATTATTATGTTGCTTCTTGAACAAATATATGAAACAGCTTTTTTGAAAAAAAAAATACTGTCAAAAAAAAAACTATGACAGACTTACCGAGTTGGACAGGTAGCTTCGAAAATTAAATGATTTATAGTATCCAAATACGATTTAAATGATAGTTCATAAAATAGTGAATACAGTCCTTTAACATACACGGTTATATATATTTCTTGATATTAGGTAGAGGTTTGAATAGATCCTGTAGATACATAAAGTACGTGGGTTAAAGTATTCAAATACGATATAACCATATATTCATTAAGAAATAGAATACAGATATGAAATACAACTCTTCGTCAAATATGATTATATATGGTTTCAAAGTGCCAGAGTATAGTTTGATCGTATAGTCAAAATGAATATATGTAATTAGATTATTATAAATTATTGTATGAATATGGTCATAAATACCGTAAGTTGAAGCTGAAGATATTCCGAGCCACATTGATTGTTCTAAAGTGTCCGGCGAAGGTGACTTATGGGAAGTCTGTCTTCATAATCATTCGAATAAACTATCATCAGATTCAGCAGCGATTACCACTATTTGTGACCCCGCCTGTAGCTCTTCTAGAGTTACTGCCGGTCCCAAGCCCGAAGAAAAGACAATGATTATGCATGCGGTTAGCGGCCCCGTCCCGTAGAAAACTAAGTCGCCAGAAAAACACTAACCAGAAAAATTATTTCACACCATTTAAACTCTGCCCTGGGAGTTAGAAGGTCTCCGTTTCGAAGAACTATGACGCTTCATGATGAAAACCATGTTCCTACAAGAGTCACTAGGCAGATGCCGCTTCTAACAGCCAGAGCAACAATTGTTATAGGTACATGGAACGTCCGGACAATGTGACGACCGGAGAGAACAGTCAAATGGCAACAGAAATGAGGAGATACAATTTGGCAGTACTGGGAATCAACGAAACCAATTGGACTCAAGCTGGACAACAAAGGCTGAATACAGGAGAGATGCTGCTACACTCCGGTTATGAAGAGGAAAATGCTACACACACTCAGGGAGTTGTTCTAATGCTGTACTAAGTAGCTCGAAACTCACTTGTAGGATGGGAATCTTACAGATCCACAATCATCAAATCATCATTCAACACAAATAAGAACGGAATCACGATGAATGCTTTTCAATCATATGCACCCACCGATGATAGCAACGTCGACGATAAAGATCAGTTCTACGATAGGCTGCAGTCAATCATAGAGATCTGATCAAGGAACAACTCCACCATTCAGATGGGAGATCTAAACGCAAAAGTCGGAATAGACAACACTCGATATGAAGATATCATGAGAGGACATGGATTGACTGGGAGAGAGAAACGAAAATGGGTGGAGATTTGCAAATCTGTGTGCATTCAACAACCTGGTCATGGGTGGCACAATATTTCCACACATTTGTATACACAAAGCTACATGGATCTCACCGCATCACACCACAGAGAACCAGATAGATCATATCTGCATCAACGAAAAGTCGCATGGACAATTGAAGAAGTGAGATGCAGGAGAGGAGCTGACGTAGCTTCAGATCACCACACCACCTAGTTGTCACCAATTTGAACCTGAAGCTAAAGAAGAACTGAACAACTGGACAAACAGCACTAAAGGGGTATAATACAGCCTTCCTTCGAGATATTAACAAATTCAACGAATTCAAGCTAGCTCTCATCAACAGGTACCAAGCCTTATAGGATTTACTAGAGGAAGAAGAAACTACTATGGAGGACAACTGGAAAGGTATCAAAGAAGCACTAGCGTCAACGTGTTAAGAGGTGCCAGGAGGCGGCAACAAGCATCATTATAGAGAATGGATCTCTGTAGGAACACTGGACAAGATTGAAGGAAGGAAGAACAAGAACACAGCAACTAATCACAGCCGAACACGAGCAGAGATAGTCAAGACACAGGTTGAGTACATAGAAGCAAACAAGCAAGTTAGGAAGAGCATTAAAGCCGACAAGTAGGAATGCTAAGAAGTACTATCAACGACAGTGGAAAGAGCTGCAAGAGAAGGAAATATGAAACAACTATTCGGTACAACGAAAAACCTAGCACGGAAATATACTAAACCAAAGAGACCGGACAAAGAAGAAAAGACAATCATCAAGATTCAGGAATCGATGAATAGATAGGTAGAGTACTTTGAGGAACTGTTGAATAGACCAGCTCAATAGAATCCACCGGACATCAGAGAAGCACGCTCAGACCTACCTATAGATGTCACTCCACGAACAACCAGAGGAACCGGAATGGCTATCAGACAAATCAAGAGCGGAAAAGCAGCAGGACCTGACAACATACCAGCTGAAGAATCGAAGTCACATATTGAAGTAACTGCGAATATGCTCCACCTTCTATTGCCGAGGAATCGGGAGGAGGACGAAATACCGACGGACTGAAAAGAAAGGCAAATCATCAAGATAGCAAAGAAAGTAGATCTGAGCAAATATGAGGACTACAGATGCATCACACTAATGTCAGTACCAGGGAACGTCTTTAACAGAATGTTGCTGAACCGAACAAAAGACGCAGTAGACACCCGAACTGGAGATCAAAAGGATGGAGTCCGTAAGGATCGATCGTGCACAGACGAAATAGAGACACTATGGATCATCGTCGAACAATTATTTGAGTGAAGCTCAACACTGTACATCAACTTCATTGATTATGTAAAGGCATTTGACAGTGTAGATAGGAGAACATTATGGAAACTTCTTCGACACTCCTGAGTTCTTGAGAAGATTATCAACATTATCCGGAACTCATACGACGGACTACAGTGCAAATTGTTGCATGGAGGTCAGCTGACAGATGCATTCCTAGTGGGTTCCAGAGTCAGACAAGTCTGTTTGCTCTCCCCCTTCCTCCTTCTTCTGCTGGTCGACTGAATTGTGAAGAGCTGAACATCTGAGGGAAAACATGGCATGCCATGCACAGCTCAGAATAAATTAGGCGATTTGGATCTGGCAGACGGCCTAGCCCTCCTATCGCATACATACCAGCAAATGCAGATAAAGACAGCCAGTGTAGCAGCATTCTCTGCATCAGTAGATCTCAACATACTCAATGAAAAATCCAACATCGTCAAATGCAACACGGAGGACAACCACTCAATCATCCTTCGTGACGAATCTCTCTAAGACATGGAAACTTTCATGTACCTGAGAATCATCATCAATGAACAAGGAGGTTTAGATGCAGACGTAAAGGCGAGGATTTGAAAAGCAAAGGCCGCATTCCTGCAATTGAACAACGTATGGAACTCAAAACAACTTTCAACCAATATCGAGGTGAGGATCTTCCATACCAACGTCAAGGCAGTTCTACTGTACGAAGCTGAAACTTGGAGAACTACCACAACCTTCATCAAGAAGGTACAAGTATTTATAAATAGCTGTCTACGCAAGATACTTAACATCCATTGGCCGGATACCATCAGCAACAGCCTTTGGTGGGAGAGAACAAACCAACTTCCAGCTGAGGAGTGAATTAGGAAACGACGACGGAAATGGATAGGACATGCGTTACGGATATCACTAAACTGTATCACGGGGCAAGCCGTACCTTGGAATCCTGAAGGGAAGCGGAAAAGAAGAAGGCGAAAGAACACTTAGCGTCGGGAAATATAAGCACATACGAAAAAGATGAATGAAAACTGGAAGGAGCTAGAAGGATTACTAAGGACAGGGTTAGATGGAGAATGCTGGTGAGTGGCCTATGCTCCTCCTCGATGAAAAAGAGGCTTAAGTAAGTAGCCGTTAATTGTGGCTGATCCAAATACTACTTCCCTCTATTCTGTTTAATTTGTTCTCCAGCCATGTTTCATGAATTGATCTGTGATATAGTCAGTGATGTGAAAGGTGTTGACATTTTTTCAATTGACTTCAATATTTTCGGTTCTCATAAAATATATCATGATCAGTGACTTACTACATCCATACGTCGTCTGCTTGAAAGAGCATTTGACGTTTATTCAAATCATTGTTCATTTCATATATCTGATATCGAGTGTTTGTCAAATACTCTCCAAACATTGATATTCTATGATGAAATTATTGTTATCTTATCCGCTGTTATCCATTACATGTGATGACTACGGACTGGCTTAAAGATGGATTCCATGAAGTTCTGATGAGAAGCCGTAATCAGTGGATTTCATCCATGTATGTTGTAATGCACTTACTCACTGAAGGTAATAGTGAACAGTCGAACAATATCGTGGATTAATTGAAATTCGACATTAAAACCGTTGGATGTCGGCCGACTCAATGGTATACAAGTTAAGTGTTCGCACGTGAGACCGATGGTCCTGGATTCGAATCTCACTGCTGGTGAGTTCCGTACTGTGACGAGACGACCGATTGACGCTTCCAGGTTCTCAATGGTGGTCTGACATTCATCGATTCATGATCTCAATCAAAAATATGACAATCTCCATAATCCCCCATTGAACTGACCAAATTATTTACCATCATACAATAGTTATTCACTACTTCGATTTCAGTCAATACTCTTAATATGTCATTCTCTTGATTTTAAAGAAGATGAAAACCAAATGATTCTATGAGTAAACGACTACTAAACTCACTCGAAATTAGATGGCGAATGGTCACAGTGTTCATTCATAGTTAGAGTGAGACTTTCTATGAATTGACAGCCAACGGCATCGTTTTCACTTCATTTTATATTTAGAAAAGTATCGATGTTTTGTAAAATGAGAAATTCACTCATTTTAGTTCCGTGAATGTATGTAGGTGAAGGTTAGTCACATAAGCACATCATTGGAATGCGATAAGTTCTATTCTAATTAAGATTCATATTACGCCCACCATACAGCATACAGTAAAGAGAATACCATATCGTTTGATTAACGAGATGAAATGAAGTGGTAGACAACAACAAACTATAATCAATGATGTTTCTGTAGACACTTGAGTTCAACAGAAATATGCTCATTAACTAAATGCTCAAATAATTTACACTGAGAATAAGAAATCATAAAC